TCTTTGAAGTGAAAAGGTTTCTCTCTTCAACCAAATATTCAAATTTGTAACATTCAGCAAGAAAGGTCTACTCACCTATCCAACCACATCAAGCAAATTAACCTCAACAATCAATGAAATGTCATTTAACCTCCCTACCATCCCAAATATGCCTGAGTGGTATGCAACACAAATTATTTTTGATATGCTACCTCTGGCATCTGACAATTATGGTATTAAATAAAAGATAATCAGCATTCACGTGCTCAGGGAAAGGGAGAAACGCACACTCTGCTGCTCAGGAGTGTAAATTGAAATATAATTTTTTATAGCGCAATTTAGGAAAGACAAACCAAAAGCCTTTAAAATGTAAAGCTTTGACAAACAATGCAATTTCATTTCTTGTGATTTATCCTAAAGAAACAATTAAAGATGTACACAAAGATTTAGCTTTTAAGAATATTTACTACAGTGCTGTTCATAATGACAAAAGCTGGAAATGACATAAATATCCAAGAACAGGAAACCAGTTAATTAATCCACAGGATCTCTTACAGTGAAATACCATTTGGTCATTAAAAATTATACTGAAATGGAAAAATTGTTTATAATGACAGTTTGTGCAGCTACTTTTAAAAGCTATCAGCTTATACACATTGAAAGAACCAGCTTTGCATGCAGACATATGCAATTTTTACTTTCTTCTTTTTGCTTGTGCTTTTCCTACAATTAATGTTTTAGTTTTCTAATTTAAAATATGCACATTTTTGAGAATGTATATTAATGACTGCTTAATTTGAGTCACTATTTATATAACTCACATCATCTCTAACCCTACAAAGACTGAGAATAACATAAAGACATATAAATAACATACCAGTTTAAGAAATCGGAAAACAGAAAAGGGATAAGGAGGTAGCAGTTAATTCTATAGAGAACGCAAAACAAAATGGGTACTAAACATGAACATTAACTTTAGCATTAACTTCCTGCAGCTTATCATCCATAGTAAAGAGAGTCAATACACTCTCACAGTATTGGATGACAGAAAATATTAATTCTTCACAAAAATCCTGAGAATTCAGGAACAGAAACATGTTTTCATGCAAAAGAATCTGTCTTTGGGGTTTTATACTAATAACAAAATAAACTGTATCTTCTATAGGCACCTTACTAAAGATATTGTTTCACTCTCAAAAAACTGACAGGATTATAATTCAGTAACAAAAAATATTATTTTTAATAATGCAACTTTAAAAGCCTATAAGAATGGAACATTAGATCAATATTACAGTTTGTCTATAATGTACTAATATAAAGCACCTGTAAAAAGTACACAGCTCAGAGAAGGTGCTCAGTGTTGGTTTTCTTTCCCTCTCACTTAACCTAAACAGACTAATTGTGTCAACATCACATCAATTGGAGAAAAATATGGCAATCCAATTACTAAGGAAACACCTCCAGTGTGCCAGGCACTATGAAAACACATAATGAAATAATTTCAAAAGCTGTTTCTAACAGAAACATTTTATTTTCTCCCAAATAATATATATGAGTGTGTATGTATATGTGTATATATATAGAGAGAGAGAGTATATTTTTACATAGCACATATTTTTAGTACATTATGAAACTCATCATAAAAACAGAACTCAAAGCTCATTAAGATCATTTGGAAATGAACAATTTCAAAAATAGTTGAGAAAACTTCAGGCAGCCTAGCCAACTCTATTATCCTAAAATTAATCAATAACATCCTAATTAGCATCTTGAAATAAGCTCCCCAGGAAAACCCATCAGTCTGCCAAAGTAAAGTTATCTTTAAAAAGGAAAAAAAAATCCTTATGAATACTTCATAAACTTTCAAATAAACCACAAAGTGTTTATCTACAAAGGTGCTAAATTAAAAGCTTCCAAATGTTGTCTATAAATCTCCGCAAATTGGTGTAAATATGTAGGGTACATCAAAATGTAAATGCAATCACAAATAAGGCTTAATATTTTAAGTAAATAAAAGTACTACTATGAGCCCTTTATATTGTCCCTTTCCAGAAATGAAGTATGATGAATTTTCATTTGGAAATCTTGCTGCTAAGTATTACCAATTTATTTGGGTTTCAAAATAACGTACCCACTTTTTTAAAAAAAGTACCTAAACAGCTGGTGTAAAAGCAGTAAACCAATACATTCAAGAAAAGCAGGGAAAACAGACTAAAAGACAACCAATAAAAACTATGCATCTAATTAAACCACTCAAAAAATATGGTTTAGTAAAGAAAAAAAAGTACATTCAACTGCAAAATAATTTCAAAAAGCTCAAAACCAACTAAACTTTTAAACTCAGAGCAATGGTGAATGGAAACAAATGGCAGAAAATTGACTGGGAAAGGATGCTGCTGGCCTTAAGAACTTGAGGTTCTGTATACCAGAGTAAATAAAAATGGAACACTAATTTCATCCCAGATATCCAAGAGGGTTTTGTTTTTTGTTTTTTTTTTTTAATTAGCTCAATTTCACTGTAGCTCATTTAGGCTGATATCTAAGAATGGTTTAAAATGATACTATGAATAAAGCAAGCAGATGATTATCTCTTTTCATTTCCACTCTTTCCATTTAAAGGAAGCACAATTATTCCCTGTTCACAGGAACTCAATCTCCCTCTTAACTCTGTACCATTTATCTTAATTTTCAATGTTATTTTTAAGCTCTATGTATAATTAAACACTTCCTTCAAAACATTGCTACTGTGCAGAGGATATAAACTGCCAAAATGCCTAGACTCTTTCTTCTCATTTCATGTCAGTCAACACCCTGCACATCTTTTGAGGACTCTCCTGCTTCTTGCTCACCTGACGCTCCACTGCCACATTTGCTCTCACACAAGTTTATCTTCAATAATTATTATCAGTTATTCTTAGTCAGAGGCTAAAATGATCCCCCACTGCCACATATTGAAAAATAAGAAGCTTACATTTTACTACGAGGTTCCTTCATGAATTATCTCTCTTACCTGAGTTATGCCAGAACCTTGATATTTTTTCTTACCAGGAAAATGTATTTAGATTTTCTTTCATCAGCTTTTTATTCAGCTCCTAAGGGTTCTGTCTTTCCTCTCCTTAGCTAACCACTATATTTTATATACATATGTATATACATATATCACCTACTATCACACATACATGTATAATTTTATAATAAAGTACCAGAAGTTTCTTGGGGATAATTTTAACAAGTATTTACTAAAGATGAAATCAAGGATAATCTATTTGTTATCTGATAATTTAAATATATACACAGCTACTTCAAAAGATTATTTTATAGTCAGCTTTTTTTTTTTTTTTTTTTTGAGACAAGAGTCTCACTCTATCGCCCAGGCTGGACACCTCAGCCTCCCCAGGAGCAGGGATTAAAGGCATGCACCACTACACTCGGCTAATTTTTTTTTTTTTTTGTATTTTTAGCAGAAGTAGGGTTTTGCCATGTTGCCCAGGCTGGTCTTGAACCCCTGGCCTCCTTGGCCTCCCAAAGTGCTGGGATTACAGCATGAGCCACCATGCCCGGCCTACAGTCAGCTTTTTTAAAAAGTGAAAGAAACTCAGGAGAAACATAATGATAAACACCTTGAGCACAAAGTTTTGTTCATAAAAAATTTTGTTCAGCTTTTTATTATATAAATGCACAGAGGGGCTTTCTCAAGAAGCATGAGCACAATATATGTCCTTGATTGTTTTAAAAGCATATAAAAATGGTCAATAAAAGAAAGCAAAATACACACACACAAACATACTCAACAGATTTAACCAAATTTAAAAAGATGAAAAGACAAAAATCTAATTTGCTTAAAATGTTTGGTCTAATTTTTAAGAGTTCTTTTCTGCTTTAACAGAAAAAAATTGCCAACATAATAAATTGGTTTACCATCTATTAGTGAGAGCAATATTAGAATAAAAAATTAATAAAACTTATTAGAATAAAAAAGGTGATTGAGTAATTTTATAATATATACTATCAAAGTAAGAACATAAGAAAAATAACAATAAACAACACATTTCAAAATTATTAATATTTACCAAATGATAACTGTACTTAAAACTGAACACTTAAAGACAAAATTATGCAACTACATCACACTTAAAGTTAGTAATCATAAAATCTGTAAAACAGTCCTCATGGTTTCTACAATTAGTTTAAAAAGATATTTTTAGCCACATATGTTAACATACATCCACTGTCGTTATTAACTTAATCTTTAATATATCATATATAATACACCCTTCCAGGATACTTATTGTAACTCAGGTAAGAAAATTTCTCTAGTACCCAACAGACATATAACCAGCAGGTTTGACAACTCATTGTCATGACAATTCACTGAAGGATGAAGATTACTTAATTTTACACTAATTCCTCACGATTTTTCACCTAAGTCCTGTTCCTTCCCAGTCTTCCCATAAAAGCAAATAGCACTACCATTCTCCCAATTATTCATCACTCTCTTTTCCTCACACTCTACATCAACTCATCAGCAGGACCTACTTCTAAAACAGAACCCAAGTCAGTACACTTCTCACCTGTTGGGTTATATTACTTAAAAACCTATGTTTCTTTAAAAAGAAAAAGAAAAAAAAGTTACAGATGCTGACAAAGGCAGCATTCATACACATGAAAAAACTGGTTGAAAATCTGTACAGAAAACCAGCAATGATGGTTGCTTAGAAGCCTACTGGATGCAATCATAGGAGATAATTTGGAGCCGGAGAGAGATGGATAAAAGAAGCTATGAAATGGCAGAGTCGATTGAGAAGCAATCATGCTCCAATCTCAGTAACCTTTACCATTTGTGTGACTGAGTCCTCCAATTTCTCCATGAGGAAAAGAACAACTTGGGAGAAAAAAAAATTTTGGCAAAGATTTATTTTTATTTTAGTAGCATCTTCAAATAGGTAGGTGCCAAGATAAAGGAAATATAAATTTAAAATCTAAAGCAGAGATATATGAATAGTAATTAAGTCACTACATACTGTACAGAGATCCTTATATTGCAGCTTTTGGAATTTTGTGTCTGTGTTTCCTGCACATAGTTCCACATAACCAAGAACAACTTGAAACACGGTGTTGTGAATGGCTTGGGTGAAGTGCATATGAAGTTGATCCATTGCTGTCTGTGGAAAGAAAAAATGCACAACATAATTTCACATTATTAAAATAAATAAATTTCAACAGATTGAAAAAACCCAGGGAAACATGTTTTCAAATAATAGTTAGAACACAAAGATAATATTTTCCCCAGAATTATAACTGTAGGGTATATTATTTGCAAATAACCCTTCACATAACCAGATTATCAGAGCACTCAAAATAAATGTGACTCGTGAACACTGCTCTGTTGTTCTTTATTTATAACTGGTACTCATCTTGCTCTTTCTTAAATATGTTGTACATAACCATATCTCTAATTACCCTCTGCATCATTCTGCATGCATTCATTCTTTTATATCATTCAGTGCATTTCTCAATGATAATCTTCTCAGGGAACCTCCCATGACCAGCCAATATGAATCAGTACTTTCTATCTCTGCATCCACATACCCTGATTTATATTTCTTTGTAGCATCTGTTACTACCTGATATCATATTCATTTACAGGCATAAATCACAAAAGAAAATTTTTGGTTTCCCAGTGCATATAAAAGTTACGTTTACACTGTACTATAATCTATTTAAAGTGTGTAATAGCATTATATCTTAAAAAAAAACATATAAACCTTAATTTTAAAAAAATTGCTAAAAATGCTAATAATCATCTGGGCCTTCAGCGAGTCAATCTTTTTTCTGGTCGAGGGTCTTGCCTCAATGTTGATGGCTGCTGACTGATCAGGGTGCTGGCTGCTAAAGGCTGAAGTGGCTATGGCAATTTCTGAAAAGACAACAGTGAAGTTTGCTGCATTAGTTGACTCTTCTTTTCACAAAAGATTTCTCTGTAGCATGCGATGCTGTTTGATGGCATTTTATCCACAGTAGAACTTCTTTCAAAACTAGAGTCAATGCTCTCAGACCCTGCTGCTGCATTACCAACTAAGTTTATGTAATATCCCAAATTATTTCTTGTTATTTCAACAACGTTCATGGCATCTTCACTGGTAGATTCCATCTCAAGAAACCACTGTCTTTGAAGCAACTCTTACATCCATTCAATTTTATCATAAGATTGTAGCAATTCAGTCACATCTTCAGGCTCCACTTCTAATTCTAATTCTGTTGCTGTTTCTACCACATCTGCAGTGATTTCTTCCACTGAAGTTTTGAACTCCTCAAAGTCATCATGAAGGTTGGAATCAACTTCTTCCAAACTCCTGCTAATGTTGCTATTTTGACCCTCTCATGAATCACGAATGTTCTTAATGGCATCTAGAATGGTGAATCCTTTATGGGAGCTTTTCAATTGACTTTCCTGAGATCCAGCAGAGGAATCACAAATGTTCTTAATGGCATATGGTAAATCCAGAAGGTATTCAATTTACTCTCCCAAGATCCATCAGAATAATAACTATCTATGGTACCTATAGCCTTATAAAATGTATTTAAGTAGTAAGACTTGAAAGTCAAAATTACTCCTCGATCCATGTGATGCAGAATGACTGTTATATTATCAGGCATGAAAACAACACTCATCTTCTTGTACATCTCCATCCAAGTCATAGGGGACTAGGTACATTGTCAATGGACAGTAATATTTTGAAAGAGAAATTTTTTTCTGAGCAGGAGGTCTCAACGGTGGGCTTAACACATTCAGTAAGCCATGCTGTAATCGATGTACTATCATCCAGGCTTCGTTACTCCACTTATAGAGCACAGGCAGAGTAGATTTAGCATAATTCTTAAGTGCCCTAGGATTTTCAGAATCATAAATGAGCATTGGCTTCAACTTAAAGCCTCCACATGCCTTAGTCCCTAAAAAGAGAGTCAACCTGTCCTTTGATGCTTTGAAGCCAGGCATTGACTTATTCTCTGTACCTCTGAAAATCCTAGGTGGCATCTTCTTCCAACAGAAGGCCATTTCGTGTACACTGAAAATCTGTCCTTTAGCACAGCCATCTTCACTAAGCTTAATCCTTTCTAGCTTTTTATTTAAAGTGAGAGACATGAAGCCACTGTAGGTTTATTAACTGGCCTAATTTCAATACTGTTGTGTCTCAGAGAATAGAAGGGTCAAAAAAGAGGGAGAGAGAAGGGGGAATGGCCAGTTGGTGCAGCGGTCAGAACACACACATTTGTGAATTAAGTTCACCATTTTATATGGGTACAGTCCATGGACCACAGAACAATTACAATACTAATATGAAGCTCCCTAAACATAAATCACTGTCCCAGATATAATAATGATGAAAAAGTTGGAAATACTGCAAGAATCATGAAAATCTGACACACAGACATGAAGTAAGCACACTCATGCTGTTGGAAAAATGGCACTGACAGACTTGCTTGATGCAGGTTGGTCACAAACCTTTAATTTGTAAATAACACAGTATCTGAAAAGTACAATAAAGTGAAGTGTAATAAAAAGAGGTATGCCAGTATCCCTCACTAAAAGGTAAGATACATAAAAGCCTACATCCAGACACTTGAAACAATGCGCGTAGGAGGTACCAAAAATATTAATGGAATTTAAGACTTAATCTTATGGGGGAAATGAGAAATTATAATCCTATTTTCAAAGGTGTTTAAACATATCCCTCAAAATTGCTAAGTTCTTTCTTCTTAGATTTTTTCTTGGGTATAGCTTAAGACATGAAAACTAAATTACAATAAACAGTAAAATTTCTTTATTCATATTTCAAAATGTAGAGTTTAAATTGTTTAGTAAATTTTTAAACTTCCTTCTAAAAGAGGGGAGCATTTAAGGGAAGAAAACATTTACATCTATCACATTAAATGTTGTCTAGCTAAACATATAATCCTATACAAACAAAAGATACAATTAACTTGCAAAACCATGGCACCTGTTTCAAGTCTTTCAAGGAAGCCCTTGAACAATAAGGGTATGAAAAGCTATACATTATGAGAGAAATTATGACATTTTGGGGATAAAAGGGCCCTCTGAAATATCTGATAAATAAAATGGACCTGTTTTACAGATAAATGTACAAAATGTACAATGCTGACATATCATTTTGAGGGAGTCATGCTGGCCTATCTAACAACACATGAAGCTGCAAATTAGGAAGTCCTGTTTCAGACCAAGAGCTGAGTTAAAAGAGACTACATATTGTCTCCCACTGAATTATCTTATAATATACTTTTTGGAAAATCTACATAAAATTGTGAAAATATTAAAACTGACAAGTATTTCATAGTTCAAAACAAACTTCTGTAATGTTTTAATCACAGTATATACCCTCTGAGTCTATGACAATAACCATTTTATCACTGTTAATTCAGAATAAAAACGTACTTTGTTAAATAAAACTTTTTAAGGACATGAGATTTATAATATTCAGACTTAATCATGAAGGGCAACAAATTCCTGATTAAGGAAAAATCCAAACATGCTTTTGAAACAAACCTGTGTTTTTCCAAGAAGTCGATAAGCTTGTTGAACCTTGGTATAATGGTTAATGTCAAAATTCTTGCAGATTTTGGAAAGAGCTACGTCCAACTGTTCCTATGTAATTAAAAGAAGCAAGAAATGGTTAAGGAATTATGTTTTCAAGGCAATGACAGGAAAATATTAAGACTAATCTCTCACTTTTAGTTAACATTTACTATCATACCAGATTTAGAAATCAAAAACAAAATTAAATAAAGTTATAAATTGCAACTGTAAATTTATTAGCAACTATAATCAAGTTTACCAAGATATTAACATATGAATTTCTATGTCTTAAAACCCATGCCTAGTGTTTTACAGGAAACAAAATAATAGTTTTGTAATGAATCTTACTCTTACTACTACTTAACATTTCCTCAAGCATCTGCTAAAATCTTATATAAACTGAATTTGTAGTACTACTGGAATTACTGGAAAACAATAAAACAATCTTTCTCTAATCAATGAAGAGGAATTCTCAACCAAACTACATTGAAATTAAAAGTATATTCCTCAAGATTTAAGCTCTTATATCTAAATTACTATGCTTTATGGATTTCCATTTCAATGATTTTACTTTGAAATAAGAGCTTTTAATATAAGTACAGAATAATATCTATTAAGAGTGAAGAAATACTGAGCTATCAAAAGAAAAGCTTCATTAAAATATTCAGAGAATTGTTAACTTAAGCCACTCAAAGCAGTTGTTTTTGTGACTATCAAATAAACTGTTATTCTCATAATTATTTAATAGCAAATAATTGCATTTATGGTCAAAAATTACTTTCTCAAAAGGTAATTTGAAAGTCCAATCTCAACTTTTATAAATACTCTTATCAGGAAAACAATAAAAGACTAGAAGAAAACAAATAATTCTTATTTATTAAAATGAATACCCTCCTTTGCAAAGATTGTCAAGGAAAGAGATGAATTTTGAATACATGTAACAGGCAAAACATGCTTCATGCCCACAATTACATATCTCTTGCTTTCTAGTTTCTACATTTTTGAAGAACTATATGAGTATCATTATGAGGTTTAGGAATTTTGGAGGGTTTTCATCAGCCAATAATTACTTATAAGTAAATTAACTCACTAGCACTATACTAAACAATAAAGTAACTGATAATTAAAATATAATTAATACATAGAATGTATTATGGCTATTATATAATTTTATGAGAACATACCTGTGACTAACAGTTTGGAAATTTTTCTTGGAAATGGTAATATTTTCAAATACTGTTTTGACATCCCATAATTTACAAGTAAATTTTTACACAAACTTGACCATAAATAGATATCCCAAACGAAAATCAAGAAATACAGTGATTTAGAGACATTGGTAATAACATAAAAGCCAAAACAAAATGTTGCACCTATGTTATTCAAAAACTTCTGAAAAGAAAAAGTCATTAAGGTTACAATATAATCCTTCTTACCTCAATCTGTTCCAAAGTATCTTGCAGCTTTGAATTCAGTTCACTATTTAAAATAAAACACACACAGTTTTTTTTCTATTTCTAAAAGAGACAAACTAAGTGCTAAATAAATATATACTAACTGAATAATTAATCAGTAAATTCAAAGATTAAGGGTATAGACAGTAAGGCATGCTGCTGAATTCTACATATAGACAGTGCAATAAGAAAAAGTACTAGAAGGGAATAAATAAGAGTCATTACCAGCAGCAACAGGATTGTGTGAGTAGAAAGAATCTACAGATAAAACTAAAAAAACTGAAGAATTAAAATAGATAACTTTTACATAAACAATGTTTGTGCATTTAACAGTCAACTGAATATCCTCTTTCTCAGTGATCTGAAGACCTTTACCCTTTATTTTTATTCTGTCTGTCTCAAGTGTATTGGTCATTCAGGAAATGCAAATTAATACTATAAAAACACTGTAACAAATGAAAAGAATGGCTAAAAATATATTTTTAAAATTAAAAATGACACCACCAAATGTTGGCAAGGATGTTGAACAAACAGAACCACTCATTTGATGCCAGAGGAAGGGGAAACTGATATAACCTCTTGGAAAACCCCAATATCTACTGAAACAACACACACTATATCTCCCAGCAGGTCTAATCCTGGATACATACCGAACAGAAAAGCACACAGAATCCTTGCAGCATTATTTTTAATAGGCAAAAACCTGAGGCAACACAATTGTCTAGAATAATTAGATAAGTAAAATATGATATATTCATACAATAAAATCTTATAGCAATTAAAATTTATGTGAACCCAAAAACACATTTGGCAAAAGAAGTCAGTAAAAATAGTATATACTGTATGCTTCCATTTATTTAAAGTTTAAACAAGCAAAACTAATTTTGGTGACAGAAGCCAGAACAGTGCTTACCTTAGAAGAATGACTGGGATGAGACATGAGAGAAGTTTGTGGGGTGTCAGAAATACTCTATTTCTACTTCCGGGTGCTAATTACATAACTATGTTTACTTTATGAAAGTTTACTGAGTTATACTCATACACTTAGGACATGTCATTGAATCTAGATTTTTTTCCCCCTTTAATTCTTACAAGGTCAGTAAAAAAATCAATAGAACTAACATTATTTGAATTACATCTCACTACTAAAAATGATGTGATAGCTAACAAAATAAACGCAATCACAGAGAACATATTTTAACAAGAAAGAATAAAACCTAATTGTTCTTAAAATAGTACAAGTGAAAGACATTTAGCACACCAAAATCAAAGGTTCTTAAAATTGCTATCTACTGATAATAAACTTGACTCTCAAATTCCTAGCAGCCAAAGCAAATAGAGAGGGCCACAGTACATAATTCAGAGTCTAAAACAGTAGAACATACCAGTAGCTCAAGGGGGAAAAATAAATGAAAACAAAAATATAAAAAATCACTTTTGTTGGCATTAAGTTCTGAGAGAAAATTTTGCCAGTGTCTTGATCTCCAAAGGCACAACACCCTTGACAATATCCTTACAATACATACAATAATGGGTTCTTTGCATTTGCTTCTTATAGAGCCTTTCAATGCAAGCTAAAGAGATAATACCAGAGTGAGATATAGATAGATATAGATAGCAATCTGTCAGAAAAGTAAAACCAATGTAATACAAGTACACAGTTTTGGATGCTCTCAATGATAAATGTCCAAACATCTAGAGAAATTAGATCATTTTCTGCAAATAATATTTATCATAAGCATACTTTGAATTGAAGTTGAGGACTGGAGAGTATATTTTCCGGCAAAAACTGGAAGTGAGCAAAACTATATCCTTTGACAATTAACAGTGTAGGACTGATACCTTATTAGAAAAAGTAAGATCTCTAACCAGGATTTGTGCCTGAAATACAGCCAAATCCTCAGACGCAGATTAAGGGAATACTTGTAGCTAGGACTGAAATTTTGTTAAAAAAATGATTCTAGGACAATTCCTGCCAAAAAAAAAAAAAATGAATGGATAAATGAGTGAATGAAGAATGAAAACTACTGCCCCCAAAATAATTCCCCCAAAAGAATAGCTATGATAGTGCCTTAACACTTTCAAAGAATTAAATAAATCTTCATCCAACCCCAAGAAAAGCAAAACAAAACAAATCAGTATCTTCTCTCCCTCAGAGCTGTTCTGTCTCCCATGTTCTCTGTCTCGATTCACAGCATCACCACCTACTCAAACAAAGCTGAAAATCTCAGTCATCTTGCATTCTTCTCTCTCTATATGTAATTGGTAATCAAATCCTGATGATTCTACCATTTCATTTCAGATTTCCCATATCCACTTGTGCTTATCTTTTCTCAATTCTATGTCCTAATTCAAGCATTATTACCTTTTGCTTAGGGAATATAAATCATTTTGTTATAAAGATACACGCACGTGTATCTTCACTGCAGCACTATTCACGATAACAAAGACACGTGAATAGCAAAGACATGTGAATAGCAAAGAAATGGAGTCAATCCAAATGCCCATCAATGATAGACTGGATAAAGAAAATGTGGCACATATACACCATGGGATACTATGCAGTCATAAAAAGGAATCAGATCATGTCCTTTCCAGGGACGTAGATGAAGCTGGAAGTCATTATCCCCAGCAAACTAACACAGGAATAGAAAACCAAACACCACATTTTCTAACTTATAAGTGGGAGCTGAACAATGAGAACACATGGACACAGGGAGGGGAACAACACACAGTGGGACCTCAGGGGACGGGTGGGGAGAAAAGCATCAGGAAAAATAACTAATGCATGCCAGATTTAATACCTAGGTGATGGGTTGATAGGTGCAGCAAACCACCATGGCACACATTTGCCTATGTAACAGACCTGCACATCCTGCACACGTACCCGGAACTTAAAATAATGAAAAAAAAAAAGTAGCCTCCTAACAAATCTGCACATGCAGCACACATACTTTAATCAACCCATCCGTTTATTTGACAAACACCATCAACCAAACATTGTACAACATCCTTCAAAAAGCTGTCAGAAATAGTTCTGAGCAGGGGTCTAACTTCACATTGGATTTGGTCAATATTCTACATGATTTGGCAGACACAGTGTTGTCAAATGGCTTGTATGTGAACGGCTGTAGGCAAGGCAAGTGCTCTCTAGTCCCGTGGGCTCTACCATTTCCTGTGGTCTTACACCTGGCAGCCTCACATTTATGTTATCTGCCTGGTCCCTAAAGACATCTGAGTGCAGTTCTTAAGTAAAGCAAGAATAAAACCACATTAATCTCCTGCTTTCAATCTTTTGGTGGCTCCCTATTAAACTAAGGAGAAAAGCCCCAAATTAGTATGGCATATAAGACTTTTAACAATCTGACATGAAAAAAATAACTTCACATTGACTTCTCATTGCCTATATTTTAGACATATGTACTGTGCACAGCACCTGAACCAAACTCCAGACTTTCACACTCTCAGTTCTTGTACATAGTGGTCACAATAACTGGAATATCCCTTCTTCCTTTCTCACTCACAAGCATCCATCTATCTTTCCAGGCTTAATTCAAATGCCATATTATCTGGGAAGTCTTTCCCTGCTAAGTAACTACCCCCACAATCTTCATAATACTCTGTTTACAGCATCCTGTATTACAGTAAGGAATACCTGTGGCTGTGTCTCCAAGGCACAAGCATTTAAGGCACTGTGGCTTATTCACTAGTGACTTCCCAGAACTAAATTTACTACCTAACTAAGATAGGTAACAAATATTCTAAGTCAAATTTGTAATTCAAAGAAAAATGGCAAAATTTTGCCATCATTCCATTAGCCCTTATTCTCTACCTTAATAAATAAAATTACAGAGATAGAAGGAAAGGGAAAAGAATGTTTTAGAAGAAAAAGAACCACACTGAACTCTGGGTCTGCAGGTGCCTTAGTAAGAGAAGAGAGATGAGTAAGAGTTAAAGACAGTTCCACTATCATATGAAGTTCAAAATTTCACCCAAGGCTGATCCTAGAGTAACAGAAACAGAGAGCCAAGGACAAGTGGAATAATGAGTAATTCAGAACTGGTAAACATATTCCTTTAGGGAATATTTTGAGTTTGGAGGAAAAACAAATATATCTGAATTCATTCACAGGTGACAGCAATGATTTCTTCAACTTCTCTATCAAAACAAATGGGCTTTAGTGTTAGTTTATGAAATTATAATAAACCTAGACGTTTTTATGGCTGTTATTAAAGGTAAATGATTCTACATCCTATTTATTAAGATTTAATGTAAATGTGGTAAGGTAAACAGCATGCGGAAGATTATAAACATAAAAATCTATAAATCAAAAATTTGGTTTCAATAAAAATGCTTTCAAAATGTACAACTGCAATTTGACAATTTGCTACTAATTAAAAATACATATATAAAAGTTATGTGATTAAATAGTGGACATTAACTGTACAGCTTTTAAAGAAGCTCTTACCCATCATTTAGAAACATGAATTCAATCCATTTTGATCAATTAATCAAAGTATGTTAAAAGGATCTATTCACAAACATTTTGATAAATAAATGCAACATTATAGTCAAAAAATTACCAGTTCTAAGATGGAAGGCTAAAAGCCTTTAAAAGCTATCTGCAAGCTGAATGGAATGAATCAAACAATTCTACAAAGCATTTTTACCATCACTACAGGAAATATTAAGAATAATTTATCCATAAAGAACTAATTAATAGTGTTCTTTAAACAACTGATCTAGGACACACATACACTCACAAGCATGAGTCCTAGAAAGGTTGCATATAAATCAAGATTTTGAACAAATCTGACTATACAAAAAGACAGGATGGCACAGCGATAATATCTTAATGATCTTTCCCTGGTCTGTTATTAATGAACCATATGATTTAAGTCAAGTCCTTTAATATCTCTGGGCATTAGTTTCCTATATAAAGGTGGGCTAGATAGCAAGGGTTGCTTCCAGCTCTAATGTTTCATGATTCTATTATATGCTGAAGACAAGTTACTCAATTGCCCA